AGACGTGTGCTCTTCCGATCTCCCCAAAACCCCAAAACCCCAAAATCTCATCAAGAAAAGATTGAAATTTAAGTTTAAAGACAAGCTAATAAATTAGAAGTATGATTGGTGCATAGATATTGAAAGCATTAAATTTAGCCATTATCATTCACTTTTGATCGTTCTAGATAAGGGTGTACCAGAGAGTGGCTGCAGAGTGAGAATTAGAGATCTCCTTGGTGCCTACTTATCCTAGCATTTTGAAGTACATAACAGCCTTTTGCTTCTTGAAGTTCTGGATAGCTATTTGTCCGTGATAAATAGTTAAGAAGTTGATCAGTTTCTTATAGTCCTCTATGTCCTTGTTTGCCACTTCGATCGATGCTTGAAGATTTAAGATGTCATTTTCTTTGCTTGACTTACTCTTAAAGATGCTTTTGATGGTTGTCTTGCCCTGACTAAGCTTCTCTAACTCACTTTAATCAGATCTCTTCTTGCCTTCACAAGCAGACTACATTTTAACGACCTGCTCTCTTCCCATCAGTGCCTCATTCATGCCCTTAATGTCTAATAGTTCTCCCTTGACCCAGTAATAGGCATCTCTATAGGGATTCTTAACATTTCTGAAAGCTGAATCAGACTGTTCCTTGAAGTCTCCTTTACCTGGATTAGTCAAGCATCTTTTAGTAATGTCAGAATCTGTGTAGTACTCAACATTATTATCCTCATACTTCAAGAGTTAACTAACTATTTGTTTGTAGCTAGTATCTTGAGCATCACGAATGGATATCATACGCTTGATCTGCTTTTTCTGAATTTCCATTACTGGAATAACCTTCTTGAGGAAGTTTTAGAATTCGATAATATTTTCTTTATATTTTTGAAGTGAAGATGCTGGCTAGTCCTCTTCGACGACAAAGTTAAGTCTGTACTTTTCTAGTACTTGCATCGGTGTTTGCTTAACCAAATTGTTGAGGATCTTGTCAAGATCACCCTTATCTCTGGCAAAGATCTTGAATTCTTTTGAGTGAGTTAAATAATCAAATTTGGCGAATTCTTTCATGAATCGTTCTAGCAAATTTCTTCTTTCTTCTACGAACCTATCATCATTATTTCCCACTAGCTTTTTCTCAGGCAGAGCAGGAATGAATATACCTGGCCATCTCTAGGTTAGTCCATTCTTAAGAGCGAAGAAATCTCTGAATCTTCTCACTTCCTCAAAGGGACCGTCCATATCAACTCCAGTCACAGTATATTTGATGTGGCCTCCAGTTTTCATTGGATTAGTTACTGAGAATTACTTTACTCTAGGATCAATCTCATCCTTTATTGGTTCATCTAAGTTCACATCAATGAGTTTCATCTTGTTTAAGTCTTGCAAGTATTGATACTGAGTCCCGCTACCAACAATAACTTATTAAGATGAGCCTGTGTTATTTTAAACTTTTGATGAATCTGCATTATATGATGGGTAATCTTTATCAGCATCTGCATCTATCACTACTGGTGTATCATCAAATAATTGTCTTCTTTCCTAAGCGAAAGCTGAACTTCCAAATTTAACTGGATCTTCCTATTTCTTGGTTGCCTATGGTTATTAATATTCATCAACAACTGAATAAGTATTCTTCTTGGTCTCTTCATTTTGAGAGTAAGCATTGTAATCGACAACCTAATGAAATAAAATACGATGATTATATACCTCATCCCTTTATGGAGTAGATTATGCTTATGAGTCATTGTATGTAGTACCTTGATAATCCGTTGGCTGTTGATATGAGGGTGTGTAGTTATTGTACTAATTGTCTTGTTATTGCTAGTAAGGAGTTTCTTCTTGATAATTATTCTGATCAAGAGCGACATCAACAATGTTATTGTTGTTGTCATTCTGATAGTAGTTCTGGCTTTCCTGCTAGTAGTTGTTCCCACTGCTTGGATTGTAGTTATTGTACTAATTGCTGTAGTCTAAGAAATATTTATTAATTGATATAGATACCATTATCGAGTTGGTCCTCTTCATCATCATCAAAAAGTCCTCTTTTCATCTTAGATATCTTGAGCGATTAATAATTATAATTAAATTGTAAAGAGAAGTGGCAAATTTATATATCTTTTAATTCTAATCAAATACAATTAATCATTACTCTTGTTTGAGCAAGAATAGCTCTCTAAATCAATTACTCATTTCTAAACATCACTGAAGTAAGGGTGCTGAAGAGCCTAGATGGCTGAAATTCTCTAGGTGGGGTCAAAGATAAGGAGCTTTTCTAAGAGGTCTACTCCATTATCATCAATGTTTTCAATGTATTTAATGATGTTTCTAAGATCCTGAGGTTTGTGTTAAGTCCAGTGAACCTTATTAAACCCATCAAGATTCTGGACGCCTGGCCAAACATCTTCATTGGGAGTGCCCAAGATACGGAATATCTTTTTAATCTAATCCTACTCAGAGTCTCCATCAAATAGTGGTCTCTTTGAAATGATTTCGGCGTAAATACAACCAACTGACCACATATCAACTGGAGTTGAATATTCTGTTGTGCCCAATAACAACTCTGGGGCTCTATACCATAGAGTAACTACTTCTTTAGTGTATGGTCTAATAGGAATACCGAAAGCTCTTGCCAAACCGAAATCTGCTATCTTAAGCTCATTGTTAGTACCTAGCAGGATGTTTTATGGCTTCAAATCTCTGTGAATGATTCTTCTAGAGTGACAAGCAGCTACTCCACTGATCAATTGGTAGAGATATGATTTCACAATAGCTGGAGGGAAAGAATTACCTGCTCCTAAAGTATCTATTTTCTTTTTTAAGTCCATCTCCAAATACTCAAAAACCAAGTACATCTTGGAAGGGCACATAATAACATCCTTAAGCTGAACGACATTAGGATGATCTATTTCTCTGAGAACTGATATCTCTCTGATAGTTGTGCTGGGTACACCCTCAGATTGTGTCTCTAGCTTAATTTTTTTCAAGGCTATTACTTGCTTGGTCTTTTCATTGAGACCTTTGTACACGACTCCATAGGCACCCTCTCCTAGAGTCTCAATTTTTTGGAAATGTTCGATTTTACCATATCCGAATCTTGTCTCTTCCCTCTATTACTATTGATTGTCGCTGCTTTTGTCCATTTAAGTCAAATTTTATTAATCTATTAAATTATTACTAGATTTCTTTATCCAATTATACTTGACTTCTTACTTGCTTTTGTACTAGTTTTAAATTCATAATTATAAAAACTAACTAACTTTAATAATAATCATGGACATACAGTTATTGATCCGATCCGCAACAAATGCAAAGCATAAAGATAAGAAAGATGAGAAGAAATTTCTCGCTTCTATAACGCATTTAAGCTTGGATAAAAAAGGCATTGAGAAAATAGAAAACTTGGAGTTATGCCCTAATTTGAATGTACTATACTTATTCGAAAACAACATTATGCTAATCGAAGGACTTAACAAATTAAGTAAACTGACTTAACTCTCCTTGTAAGATAATAAGATATTTAAAATGGAGGGCTTCGAAGGATTAGTTAACTTGAAGAGACTATATCTTGAAAAAAATTGTATAGTAAGATTAGAAGGGCTGTAAAATTGCAGAAAATTAGAAGAGCTGTACCTTTCAAAGTAAACTCTGCCTAATGATGTTGAATTTACCTTTGATGATTATACTTTGGCTGCAATATCTGTAAGATCATTAAAGTTTTTCTCATATTTTATTGATTAGATGAGTCTAAGAGTATTAGACGTGCAGTAATGTAATGTAATTCAAGCAGATCCTATATATTACTTGGAGTCTTTAGTTTAACTTAATATGAGAGATAATTATATTGGTGAAATCGAAGGAGTGATTCAATTTTTGAGAACTCTAAATAATCTTCGTGAGTTAGATTTGAGAGGGAATCCAGTATAAAAGGTTCCTAAATATAGAGATTAAATGGTCATGCTTGGCCTAAAGCTATGTATATTTATTTTGATTTGATTGGAATTTAGAAAATCTGGACGATAAAAAGGTAATGGACTAAGAGAGACGTTATCTTTATAACTTAGTTTAGCAAAAGGAAATTAAGGCAGAGAAACAAAATTAAGCAATTATTAGAAGATAAAATTCAACTTCAAGATTAGTAGGTTAGAACCAACCATAAATGTCTGATTTTCAATCGCATAGTACTACTGCTCCTAATTTTGGTTCAAAAAGACAAGGATCATAGGTGAAACCAGGAAATCTAAGTTAATAGAACCAAAATCCATTTGGAGTCACAAACAGAGGTTACAAAGGACATTTGGTTAAGGGGATGGGCAAACCACCACTTTCAAACATGAATAACAATGGACAACCCAATAAGGTTATGCAATAGGCAGGTTTATCTATACTTGGGAACTAAATGACATTAGGAGGAACTATGTATGAAGGAAATTAAAATTACAATGATTCAAACGTGGATTCGATGGGCTAAGACGGGCAATATTCTGCTAAGAATGCAGCTCCAAAAAGATATTCTGCAAATTTAGTGTCAAACACCGATTTCTCAATGGGGACATAACATATGAATACAAAGATGATGCCTAGGAGATTGTGATTCTCAACAGACACCTTTATCTATTTAGATTATAACTATTATCTTAATTAAATAAATCAATTTTAATTATTTAACATAGTGTTTGCAACGCTAGATAGGTAGTCTCCGACTATTGACTTAGGTGCATTATTGTAGTACTTAGAGTAATTTAGATGAGACTTTTGATAGTACTAGCCTACGAGTTCTGCGAAGGTATTTTATTAGAGTTAACTTTAATTCCTAAGAATGTCACTCACTTACATCATGAGTCCGCCTATATTCTAGAGGAATCTCCAAACTAATCTGTTAAAAAGCTCAAAGTCTTTCATGTTTTCCCTGAGGTGATTTATATCTGCTATTTCAACTTCAACTTCGTAGTTGTCTTCACCCTCTGTGCCAGTAGAATCATTGAAGGAGGATGTGTGAGTAAGATCAAAGGTAATCCAGTTGAATCTGTATTAATGTCTTCTCTTTATCCTTGTAAATTACTTCTGGTAACCATGAGGAATAGGGTAAGGCAAGCTCTCCTCAATTGAAGCAGATATTCTGAAATCAGATTGGAATGTTTTCTTTTCACTTTGTCCTTTCTTGATATTAATGTCATTAAGTCTTGATTTTCTGATGACTTCACAAGGGTTAGAGTCATATTGCTTAGTACCTTGATTATACTTAAATGATAATCTCATTGTATCTCTCTTATATCCATATGATTCGTCTTTGGTGTGAACATAACTTTCTACGAGATTTTTCTATACTTAAGCCTAATCAGATAACCTTTATCTTAATTGCTCGAAAACATATTTGTTCAGACTCAATGAACCTGATGATTATTCGGTTAGTCCAGGCTAAAATTTATAGAGAGGTTTTTGCATTTTGTCAGGCTTCTATTCAAATAATATAGTCCAAAAGCTCTGGTTGAAAGCAATATTAATCAAATGCTACTGTAAGAAATCCATATTTTAAGTTAAAGCAGAGGCTTCACCTAATTTTGCTTCGATCTCAAGCACTTAATTTTATTTATTTGGATTACTATCAGTATAGAACTTATTCATTATCTAGTACATTTAGTTGGAAATCGCTCTCACTCTATCATCATTTACATCTATCTCTGGTACTCTTTCAAACGCAAGATTAGATGAAAGCTATCGACTTGCTGGTGGCTATTATTATTAATGCTAAAAGCTATGATTGCTTTACATTTCTCAAATTATTATTATGCCAATAATTATTCTCAAATTTATAAGTTATATCAGACCAATGGGGTTTTGGGGTTTTGGGGTTTTGGGGTTTTGGGG